AGCAGTGGAATGCTTTCGGGATGAAGGTTGCAAGCAGTATGATTTCTAAGAATCCTCTTCATCTCACACCACTGGAGCAGGTTGGATGACTGGCAACACTGTCACAGCATCATCTGTATGAGCACTCCAGCCAAGTGTTTCTGTGTTCCCCATTTCTGATTTTTAAACAAATTTTAATTAAAAGATACACACAAAAAACTCACAGTTTTCTACTAATGCCATTTATTATACAGGTAATTATCATCTTTAAATAAAGGTGTAATTGCCAAGGTGAGCAACCAGTTCTGTGGTTATAGATGCCATGCTGGAGTGAACATTTGACATACTTGTTACAATCTCACTTGGAATGCCCACATCTCACACTGAAGTGCGTGGGTTCAGATCCCAGTCCAGCTTTTGGTTTCAGTTTTCTATTAATGCCCATCATTGGATATGGCAGGTTATAAGTGAAGTAGTTGGGTTTGTTTTACTCCCACGGGAGACTTGGATTGTGCTTGGGGCTCATGACTTTGTCCTGGCCCAGTCCCTGCATATGGAGGGAAGTTGGGGAGTGACCCAGTGAATGGAAGTTCTTTCTCTGTCTCTACATTTCCAATGAAACAAAAAAAGATAACAAGCTGACTTTAGAGCTTACATTTTCCAACACTGACAGTCCCTAAAAACCTGAAAATGTACTGTGTAAATGGTTTAACCACAGATAAGAAGGCACAGCCTAGGCCACATGCCAACATAAAGGCAGTAAGTTATTTTTCATTTGCTAACATTTACACAGCAATATAAAACCTAGATCTCAAAGTTTTATCCTTAGGCAAAGTGTGGGCTGCAGTATATATGTAAGCAAATGAGCCAAGACCCTGTCCCATCCCAACCCCGCCACATATTGCATGGTGGAGATTCCTCATCGTTAAAGTGGATTATAAAGTTAGTAAACCTGGTTCAATATGAACCCAATTGGGCTCAGGTAAGGGATAGACCATTGCTGTGAAACAGAGAATGTGTTTCTAACTATCCTTACCTATCAAAAAGGTTTTTATTCCCTGTGTAGAGGGATAAGTGCTGTGAAATATGACCTTGTGACAGAATTTCAGTGCATCATATATGCAACTGAAGGGAAACATGGCACTTTCCCTTTTTTTATTGCTACATACATTTGAATATTTATGCAGTTCTGGCTCCCAGCTAAAGGTCAGGGTCTTTTCTAGCTCAAGTAGCAGTTCACCAAAGCTCTATTTCCTAAAGAAGCTAACCAGATAGAATTCTGATCAAAGGTGAAGCTGCTGATAAAATTCTTTTGTCATGAAAATGTGGAAGCTTCCCTACAGCAAAATAAGCAATGCATTTTTTACATATTTCCAAACCACAGAAATATTTAATTTTGAGCAATTATTGAGTTACAAAAGGTCAGGCAGCATTGTGTTCCTCTGCAGTAAATACTTTCATCATTTTTCTTCACCGGTTTGGTTCTGTAAGCCATTCCTTGCCCTTACCAATTCTTCAGCATACAGCTTAGGACTCAGCATTGAAACAAACAGTTTCTCATCTAAAGAAACATTAATTTAACTTTCAGGTAATTTGGAGAGACCATACTGCCTTTTTTTTTTTTCTTTCACTCATCTTCAAAACAGACCCTTCTTTGCTAAGTGTTGGGAGACGTGTGCTGCTTCTGTTTGGAAGCCTTAGTCCAAGTAGTTTGCAAAGCTGCCTTTTGAGAACAGCACAGAATGTAAAAGGAAGTTGGGGTTAGCAGAGGAGGAGAGTTAGACAAAACCAGTGAGTTCTGTTTGTACCACAGTGCTCCAAGCAAACACTAATCTCATTATGCTTGAATTGATTTCCTGTCGCCCCAGTTTACAAAAGACTGCCTCTTCTCCTGGACAAGAAGCATGTTATGGTCATGTGGGGAGAGAATAAAAGTCATTTGTTTTAACATTATACTAATAGAAAGCTGTTCAAATTATGATGCTTACCTAAGAATCCAAAGTTCACATTACAGAATTAGCATTTACTAGAAATCATATTGTTATATATTTGTCCATTGAAAAGTTCTGAAGAACATAATTCCATTAGCACAATTACCAGACTTAAAAACTTGTATCTGGCAAAAGGCTCTAACAGAAGAAAAATAGGAAAACCAAACTCAGCATCATAAAATATGCTGCACAAAGAATGTAATTTTCTGCACCTGAGTATGGAATTAATACTTAGTCCTCACTTTCCCATCTCAGTGTTTTCAGAGATTCAAACTAAAGGAAAATGTTTATTGGATGTAGAGCTTCCAAAAGCAGAGATTAGCAAAGCTGAGATCTAGTCTTAATTTGGTTGGAGACTCAGTTATATCCCTTTATGCCTCAGTTTCCCACCTGCAAAATAGCCTTGAACTTAATATTTTGCATTTTCAAAATATAACTGGTCATGACATTGTCCTAGTTAGCACAAGAGAAACAACCTGTTTCTCTTAAATAGACATGCTGAAGATTTACCTGATTGGTTATTTACAGAATTCTCTTTCAGTTGGACAACCATTATTAAGGAAAATAATCACTAATATCTTTTCACTTTAACACATACATCCAGAAAAACAATATCTATCGATAACAGCTTATTTGCTACTACTGACCACAGTTGTCAATGTCTTACATAAAATTAATCACCTACTGAAAAGTAGTATCACTATACACTGCTTTGGAAGACAATAACAGGACCAAATAGATTAAATTAACACACCTATTCCTTGTGTGTACTGCTTTTATTTCTTTGCTGAAAAACTTGGAATATCCGTCATTCAAGTGTAATTTTCAAGTCACAAATAAAGGTACAAGCATTTTACTTCTAGACTGAATTTTAAAATAATCTTCCTGAAAACGGTTGTGTTAGTATATGTAAATATAAATTTTTAAAAATATAATTTAAATGTATAGCTGAGTCCTACAGAAGTCAGGTTTTTCAAAAACATTAAAAACTGAGGAAGCTATCTGTTAAGTTCTGTGTCTTGGAGTCATAAAAATAATTCATTTTGTCCAAGAGATAAATGCCTTAATTAAATAAAAAAAGATGATAGTTTCTTCCTTCTTTTGAAAATATACAGGTAGAAAAGATCTTCCATGGTAATAATTTTTTTCAAGGCTTCTTAAATGGATGTTCTTGCTTTTGCAGATTGCTTGTAATCCCCTAAAACTATATGCAACATGTTGTTGTTATAATATACATATTTGATCACTCTAAGCTACAGAAATCATTAAGAATTAGTGATCCAATTCAAATGAGAACTCTTGGTCTCAGCATGAGGAGTCATTTGCCACAGTCAAATCATTACCTTGTGACACAGAGATCTACAGAAACTGAGTCCCGATGGCTGTTTATGCTGGTCTCCACTCACAGACTAATTCTTTATAAACTGTATTTTTTAAGCTTGAATCATCCTGTGAAAAAAGTGTTGTAAAGTGAGTTTACAGGAATTACAAGCACGTAACCTCTGCTTTAATATGTACTGCTACTAAATTAGAGATTTGATACTTGCATGGCAAGAATTATGTCAGAGAAAGAACCCCTCAAAACAAAGCAAAGCTCTACTAATCTTGCACGATGAAACCCTGTTTTAATTGCTAGAAGTACAAGCAAAAACCACTATGCTTAATGTTTAAATATATATGGAAGTAAAAAATGACAAGAAAGGCCTTGAGCAAAAGGCCTACTCTAAAATATCACTTTTTAAAAAGTCATTTATCTGTTTTGTTGAAAATAGGTGCATTGATATAATCACATAAATAACACTGAAAGGTCAGTGTTGTACCTTAAACCTGAACAAATTAAAAATCTTTATTACATAAACCTTCAGAGTTCAATCTACATTTGCATTGCACATTTCCCACCACTCTTTCTGATATACCTTGTTTCTACAGAAGCGAAAGGAAAGAACCATAAGAGAGGAAGATAGGCCTCTAAGTAAATAAGCTCCTGATCACTCAGTGCAGGAAGGTTCATCATGCTTGGCTACTGCTGGCGAATCATAACCCAAAATGACAGCAGCCATCTATCATGATTTGTTGCATGTAGAATTTTAACAGAGGCAAAGTCAGACTGCTTATTTCAACGTTTTGGTATATTTCATATTATTTGATAAATACTAAACAAAATCACCAAAGTATATAAATTGAGTAATTCTTAAGGTAGTAAAGTCAGTCTTTTTTTTTTTTCTCTGAGTCAAGATATAAAAACCAGGAAACATAAACTGATAAGGTTACACACTATAGTCCCAACAATAAACCCCAAGGAATATCACACTGTGTGACAATAGCATTCTTGATACTGACATGAATTTGAATAATTACTGAAGTGTTTCCTTTTGTGTAGAAAGCAAAATACGGGGTTCAGGAAAGTGACTGCAGTTTAATATCTCCATCAAAGAGTATTGCACAACAAAGGGTAGATACTGTTCCTCAGTGCCAACTAAGACACAATGTCCTTTAGTCACAAAGTACAATTAAACAAAGCACTTTAAAAGGCTAAAAAACCAAAAAAAGGTAAACTAAAATAAAATGTGCATAGAAGTAAAAGTGAAAACAAATAATAACACTGAACAAATTAGTAACAGAGACCACCATGCTGAAAAAGGAAAAAAGTTATTAGCATATATGTCCCTTTTAAATTACAGTATATTTTCACACTATAAAATAGCAATATATTAAATAAATTGAAGATGAAAATGAACTATTAAATCATTGAATCTGATGTAAGCTATGAGAAGGGAGATTACTTTAGATGGAGGAGACTGAAGAAAAAAAAAACAGACCTTACCTCAACATTTCCCAAGAGCTTAAGCCAACATGTAGCCTCCAGGCAATAAGTAGAGGTATTCTCACGAGCAGTGAGGAAAAGCAGATATTGACACAAAATACCCGCATCCCTAGTCCTGTGCTGCATTTTAAAACATAAATATATCAGCCCGGAACTTTTTCAAATAAAGCTATTGTGTTTATGTACAATGTGAAAAGTATAATCTAAGTTTGAATGATCTTTAAAGTTTTGTTCTACCTTACATTTGTTCAACCAGAAACAATTTAAAGAGAACTATGAGTGTCAGTCTCAGAGGGAAGGTGTGCAGCTCCTCACTGGAGGTTTTTGAATCTGCTATAAAAATCAACAGTGAGAATCTAATCATTTTTTTGTTAATTTTGAGTATTGAAAAATCATCACATCAAATATTCTTCAGGGCCTCTTTGGTTTCCAGATTAAGCATGTAATGTGACTTGTTCTCTGGCCACATTCTCTGCTTTTCCATTTTAAATAATCATAAATAATAAAATCTTGCGACTCTTTGGTGAGTTTAAGTCCTAGAAATTGCACGCATTCCTTCTAAAGAGACCTGTTTCATCTCAAAGGTTTTCAGCTGAAAGATTCTTTATTATATTCAAATCTTGTCCCATATGAGTTGCTTTGGTTACTCAGCTTATGAAGAATCTTGGAAATTGAATTGGGTCCACAGCAGAAGACACCAACTGTTTTCCTAGAAAGAACGAAAGACATGGGACATCAGCAAGAGAATCCAGCAGAGCCCTAGAGTCTGCTTCGAGGCATTCACTGTGACTATGCTGCTCATTTTCGAATTTGAAGCGGCTTCTCCAAAAGTTTCCAAATGCAAATGAACACACGACAAATATATGGCATTTAATATAAACCAAAAAAATAATGGTGAGCAAATATTTCCATATGACCAGATGCAGACTGACAAACCTGTTAATTTTTTTCATAACATGGGAACACTGAGCCCATAAAACCCATAGTGAGCCAAACAGGATAGTTGCCCAGGCTTCATCGGGCCATGCAGGGTTTCCTCCTATTAGAAATGTTGCATATATTTTCTAAAGTTCCCAAATGGGTTTGTATGAGCAGTGATGAATAGATCAGGAGAGAGGAAAAGGACACTGCCAAGTTGAAATGATACTTCACATGACTAAGTTATATCCACATTGTAACAAGAACTTACAATCCAGATAATTCCTTTGTTTCTTGATCCATGGTAATAACTGCAACAAATCTTTAGTATCTATCAGTCACTAACAGTATTTTAGTGAATAATACAAATACAGTAAGTATAGTCAATTTCAAGAGATGAACAATTCTAAATTATCATAAATTGCTAGGATTTCCATTGATTTTTTTCCCCTAGAATGTCAAAATGATGAACAATTCACTCATATCTTAGAAAGACACGTTAGATCCTTATTATATCAAAATAGTTGTTGGGACAAAAACTAAGATGAAATCTATTTAAATGAATATCAAAATTTCAATGTAAATACTGAAAAAAGTTTTCTACTAAAATGTTCACCCTGAATATCAAAATAAGCTATCATATAAACAATTGTTATTTGTAGTCCTGCAGTAACAGAGAAACAATCACTTTCTTATGCTAAAAAGCTAGGATTAAAAAAAGCAAAATACACAGAATGCAGAACCCTGGGGGGAAAAAAAAGTAGTGGGAGGCAGAGAGCTGAGTCCTGCAACTGTCCCTGCTTACCTGAGAGTAATCCACAGGAGGCAGCATAGAGTAGGGGGGCTCCAGCAGGAACCTGGGCCCACTGACTCCCCAAAACAAAGAACAGAGTTCATGCAAGCCAACTCAGCTGGAAGGTGTGGAACAGAACAAGGAAAGTAAAGTAGATCTGTAGGAAGATTTTGTGAAATATGTAGAGGTTTGGGAATTATACAAGATGCTGAAACAACCCAAAGACATGCACAAAAAATAATTATATGCAAAAGCAACAACTAATTTATTAAGACTATGATATTTCTTTTCTTTCCATTTAAGGAGGTAACTTTTCCCTTTCACTAAATTAGTGAACATTTACAACCTTTTCAAACTCTATAATCAAGCTTTCTTTTTTAAGATTTATTTATTTTTATTAGAAAGGCAGATAATAGAAGGAGACACAGAAACAACATCTGTCCAATGATTCACTCCCCAAGGTGCTGCAAAGGCTGGAACTGAGCTGATCTAAAGCCAGGAGCTTATTCCAGGTCTTCCACCCTCATGCAGGGTCCCCAGGCCTTGGGCTGTCCTCAACTGCTTTCCCAGGCCACAAGCAGGGAGCTGGATGGGAAGTGGAGCAGCTGGGACATAAACTGGCATCCACATGTGGCCCCAGTGCATGCAAAGTGAGAGTCAGCCACTGGACCATCTCACCAGGTCCTACCATTAATCTTTGTCATCTATTTGCATATAGATTGCTGGAATTCAACAGTTATCTAGAAATTTATTAACAAAATAAAACAAAATTTATTTAAAAACTTCTAATTTATTAATATAGGGACAGACCCAGGAACTAAATAGAGAATGGGGTAAATATTTGGAAAGTTTCATAAATGCTAAAAAAAAATGGGCATTTAAAAAAATTATGTCAACACTTGCTTTTCCATTTATATTTAAAATGTGAAATTTTATGAAAATTTTATGTACTTCATTAAGCTCTTCCCTCTGTCACACATCCAGGATGTTTGTGTAACTCATTCCAGGGGCAAGGAAAGGAATGTGAAAGCAAAAACTTCAGTACTTTTAATTTGCACTGTAAAATTTCAATACAAATATTATGAAGCAGCAAAAGAAATATATGCTCCTAAATATTCCACTGAATTCCAGAAGTAATTCTTTACCCAAAAGGTCTAAAAAGTCAACCCTTCTTCATTCATTTGCATAGGGCATAAATCCAATAGTTTAAAACACATTTTTTTTAACCAGTAAGGAATTGAATTTTGAATAAAGGCAATAAAGTACAATAATAACTTACCAACTACTAAATGGTTTACAATGCAATATTTTAAATATTTCTTTATGCTTTAGTCATCAGTGCTTTAAATATATGTATCTATGAATATTTGTGTGTGTAGCTGAATATGTGAAATGTGCACCATAAAAAATATATGCATAGATTTCAATTTTTTGGCAGCAAGATAACCTATTTTAATTCATTTTTTTCCTGTGACTGTTTTTTGAAGTTTTCACACTAGTGTCAACATTGTCCTGCCTCACACATGTTGAACATGGAAGATGCTCACAGCATTCTGCTATTCTTTCTATTTAGGATAGAAGCCCAAAGTCAGGTGATGTTAGTTCGCTCCTGAACCCTGACTCCTCATCAGGCTCTAAATGAATCCTTAATGCTTATGTTCTGGGATCTCATCTTCTTGACTGATAAAATAATGATAAAGGAAGAGAGATTTTAAAGCTGCTTTACTTTCCATAATCACACAATATCATCACATGATTCATTTTCTAAATTAAAAAAAAATCCTCAGAGGGAATAAACCACTCTCATTCATATGTGGAAAATGTACTAATTCAACATTTTGGCTTTTGTAGGGGAGTCCCCAAAATGCATATACTTTTGATGCAGCAATTCCATTTCAAAGATCATAATCTATTGCATTACATTCACATGAAAAAGCATACAAAATTTTTTTTACTATAGTACTGAAAGAGTAACAATAAGTAGAGCTAACTTAAATATCCATTATTAGGACAGTAACAGATATTCTATCTATATTTTGAATTATAGTAGGTATTTGGTTCAGGTGTTAAGGTACCTCTAGAGATTCCTGTTTTGAATGCCTGAGTGCAAGTACCAGCTTGACTCTGAACTCCAGCTTCTTCTTGATGCTTGTCCTAAAAAACATCAGCAGGTGTTGGCTCTAACACATGAGGCCTTGTCATCCACTAAGGACCCTGAGAATGAGCTTCTATCTCCTGGCTTTTGCCCCATCGCAGCCACTGCAGGCATTCAGTTACCTCTAGGATTTCTATCTCTTTGGTTTTTTGAGCAAACAAAATAAAACAATTCAAATTCCACAAATTATCAGTGATTTGTGATTAACCCAAGGGCACTTCAAAAATCTACAGAAATATTTATCACAAAAGGCATGCATTTCATAATCTTTTACACCAAAATAAAATACTTGTTCTGAAAATCCCCTTACAAGAGTACAGCGGGTTATAATGAAAAAGTAGGTTGAAAAATCATACATTGAAAAAGTAGGTTGAATAATTACATATTGTAGATTCATTCAACTTTTGTTAAGTTTATTTTAAATACGTGTGAAGATGGGGCCCCAGCGGCATGGCCTAGCAGCTAAAGTCCTCGCCTTGAACGCCCCGGCATCCCATATGGGCACCAGTTCTAATCCCGGCAGCCCTACTTCCCATTAAGCTCCCTGCTTGTGGCCTCGGAAAGCAGTCGAGGATGGCCCAAAGCTTTGGGACCCTGCACCCATGTGGGATCCAGAGGAAGTTCCTGGATCCTGGCTTTGGATCAGCATAGCATCGGCCATTGCGCTCACTTGGGGAGTGAATCATCGGATGGAAGATCTTCCTCTCTGTCTCTCCTCCTCCTCTCTGTATATCTGACTTTGTAATAAAAATAAATACATCTTTAAAAAATACATATGTGTGAAGATACATGGATATATATATGTACATAAACATACATATGTATGTAATGCAAATATATACTTTTCAACTTTCTGTAAGAATGCATAATAAAGAGTTACTGGCCATTAACTTTGAGCCCAATAATGTTTAACCCATTTAACTTCGTATTAAAAAATCTACATGATGTATTAAATCAATGTCTACTGACTTAATTAATAATCACTTCCTGACTGTCTTACAGTACTACAATAGCCTAATGCATATACTTCTCTTTCTTATTTTTATTTCTGTACGTTCCTTCAACCAATTATGTTCATGACATTAAAATATTATATCACAATTTTCTTTTTATATGGTGCTTTTTGCTCAATTAATGAAATAAGTGACACAAAGTGTCAACAGTATATGGTGCACATCTGCACTTATTAAACCACTTAGGATATTTCTAGAAAAATAATACAAAGTGAAACATCAAAATATGAACAGTGGGGCCCGGCAGTTTGGCCTACTGGCTAAAGTCCTCGCCTTGAATGTGCCGGGATCCCATATGGGCTCCGGTTCTAATCCCAGCAGCTCCAGTTTCCATCCAGCTCCCTGCTTGTGGCCTAGGAAAGCAGTCAAGGACAACCCAAAGCCTTGGGACCCTGCACCCATGTGGGAGACCTGGAAGAGGTTCCAGGATCCTGGCTTTGGATCGGCACAGCATCGGCTGTTGCGCCGATGGGAGTGAATCATTGGACGGAAGATCTTTCTCACTGTCTCTTCTCTCTGTATATCTGACTTTCCAATAAAAATAAATAAATAAATCCTTAAAAAATATATATGAACAGTGTAACAAGTAAGTACTCCTTTAGTACTAATGGCAGTAACCAACAATTCCAGAACAGTTTCCTATAAGTGCGCCTCTGATGTGTTAGGAATTTGGTTTTAAAAACTAGCCAAAGAAACTATTGAGGCAACAACTCTGAAAATCAATAAAACAATGTTTATCAGACACAAGAATGCCATTAAAGAGAAACATGCGAGTACTGGATAGTAACAGTCAGAGCAGTGTGGTAAGATTATCATACCCAATGTGGGTGATATTGGAAAACGATGGTAAATGAATAAGAGCCAAAACTGGGTCAACAAAGTTCATCTATGTAAATATCTGCAATTACTAGAAAGACTTTTATTTCATAAATAATGCTTCTCTATTCATCTCAAAAGTGCTTCATCAGGAAAGAAATTGAAGCAGTTTCAAACATAATCTGAAACACACAGATAGCTTTATTCTCCTTATGTTTTGCTTCTTGGACACTACTCATTGGATTCTGGAATAGAATTTCTGAAAGTGGAGCCAGGAGTCATTTTGAATTAGTGAAATTCATCCATGAATTCATGAATTATGGTTTTTTTTTAATGATCCATTTTATACTCATATAAAGTTTTAAAAATAAAAGCTTCAATTTATGTTCAGTACTGTTGCAGAAGTATTTTAGTGATAAAATATGATTAGTTTAACTGGAGTAATATATGCCATTTTGACACATTTTCTGAAGGTTATATTAATAGAAACATAAATTCCCAAAGAAGAAAACTAGTGTGAAAATTTGAACTTCTAATAAAAGTTTGCAGATCTTTTATAACAAATAAGGATGAAATTAGATAACTATATTAAATCCTAGTAGTTATGTTTGTAAGAATTTCTTTAATAATAAAATGCCAAAATTTTCAGTGGGCTCTGCATTATATCCCTGATCACCATGAAATTATTTATACATAAACTGAAAAACATGTGTACTGGCATACAGTTTTCCAAACATTTGTATGGATCATTTCTCTGCTGAACAGAAAGCTTACAAAAGACAGGTATGCTAGCCACTATGTGTGCCATGATGCATACTTTTCCTTCCAAAGTCCCTAATGTTGACTCCTAATAGAATACTGTTTCCAGAAAGACACATTACACTGAAAATATTCTGAGTTCATAAAATGCACATGACCCTTAAAAGATGAATATACTTATTTTAGTAGAGCAGAAAAACATTTGATTTCGAATGTATGAATTAACTTGCTGCTGCTGAAGGTTTCCTGTATACCAACATGATTTTGCCCTTATTCCACAAGTTTATCAGGCTTGTTAGCAAAAAGGCGGATTGGAAGTGTAGCAGCCAGGTGTCAAACCAGTGTCCATATGTAATGCTGGTACTGAAGGCAATTTTTGTTTTACCTGAAATGCTGCAGTGCCATTCCCTAGACCTATTCTTAATTCATCTTAAAAATTTTCAGTAATTTAAGGAGCAGGCAGAGTAGCTTAGCATACCAATTCTCTCCCTGCTGTGTCAGCATTCCTTATGAGCACATATTTGTGTTCATGTCCTGTCTGCTCCACTTCTGATCCTACTTATGACCTGGGAAAGCAGAGGAGATGGCTCAAGTCCTTGGCTCATGCACCCATGTGGGAGATCCAGATGAAGCTCTTGGCTCTGGCTTTTGATCAGCCCAGCTAATGGGACGGACAATCTTCTCTCTCATCTCTCTCGCTGTTGCTCTTCCTCTCTCTGTAAATCTTTCAATTAAACTAAACAAAAATCTTTAAATTGCTTCCAGTGACTTAAGAATTTTTAAGTTTGTTCGTTAGCCATTGGCCAATTTTGGATATATACTTACCCTCTGTTGTATTTTGCTATTTCATTAAAAAGGAGTTTCCACCGAGGACGCCCAATAAAAAGTCTTGAATTTAGTGCATGGTATTTTTCTCCAATTATCTTCTGCCAAAAAAGGGGCTACAAATTAGGTGGTGCATAGATTTGAATAAATATTTACATTTTCTAATACCACTGCTGCTGATGCTATGTTCTTCCATCAAATTGCTGTTATAAAGTATGAAATTGCAATCTATTAAACATAATCATTTTCAAGTACCATTTCCTTCCTCTTTTACTTTAGAATCCATTATTTTCATGATTATTTCCTAGATTTCAGCATCTTTAAAAAAAATACTGCAATTGTTCTTTGTGGCCAAATGGGCACAACTGGAAACCATTATGCTAAGGGAAATGAGTCAATCCCAAAAAGTTAGATACCACATGTTTGCCTTAATTTAAGTTAAAATGCTGTCAATATGAAAAACATTACGTGTAAAATGTAATATTATTTCAAACTCTAACAACCGGTATCTCATGCAACAACATATTGTGATATAATCAATGAACCAACAATCAATGTGAGGCAGACTACTCATGATCTTCATCAAAGAACTGTAAAACCTAATGCACTTTTAAGACCCTGTGCTTCTCGGTAATGGGGCGGGAGAGCAGAGAAATCTTCCATCTCTAAAATGTGTGAGGAAGACGTGAAATACAACCTACCAGGATCATAACAGGTAACTTATAAACAACAGACTCAACTCACCATTAGACAATAGTAAAACCACAAAGACATAGGGGTATCAAGAACGATCCTGACAACTTCTTAACAGGAAGGTCATATGCACAGAGCAGGGAGGATCCCAGAGTGGAGCAGGTGGACAAGAGGAGGCTTGTATCACAACCCTGGAGACTCCCAGATCCTCACCAAGGACTATCAGTACGGGCACCAAGGACTATATCCCAACTGCCAAGGAGACCACGGGGAATTGGAGTGCCTTTGGAGGCTGAGTATTCCGAGGTCATCCACTCCCATTTGAACCTCCCACATGGGATGGAAGAAGCCCAAATTCCTCCTGGCAGGGCCCAGTGTCACCGGAACAACAGCCAGGAGCCCTGAGCGGTCTACATAAACAGAAAAACAATAAACTCCCTTTGCAACTAGGGAGAGGAGCTTTCTCTGGTCCTTACTTAGTTCCAACTCTGGATCCCCACCCTCTCTTTCAATGACCATCAGGGCCGTCCTAGAGCCCCCTGCCCCAAAAACGAAACAAACAACAGTCTCCCCAAAAAACCGTTGAATTGAGCTGGGCGATAAGATGCTGGACTCTATGCATGGCACAGGCTTGCAATACAAGAAACAAGACTAGATTTGAACTGTAATACTGCAATAAGGTGGAGCAATCCACCATGGGGGGAGGGTATGGAGAGGGGATGGGGGAACATCAGAGCCTATGAAAAGATGTTACAAAATGAAATGCAATAAAAAAAATGCTGCAATTTAAGACAAAGAATACATCCTAATTGTGCTCTTTCAAAATGGCTCAGTGTATACCTTTCATTAAAATATATTTCTGCCATAAAACAGGTGTCATATTTGGCTCATAATATGAATAAAATATTCCAAATTGTTATTATCAGCTTGGAGAAATGATGCTAGAAAAAACTGCAGACCCTCAGTCTGTCAAAATGTGACACTCAACTGGGCTTTATTTGTAACAAACAGAACAATGGATATGAATCAGTCCTGAAGTTAGAATATGAAGTGAGAATAAAGGCAAATGTGCCTGGTTCCCATGCAAGCAAATTGAGAATGAAACCATCTATGCTCTACACTTTCACCATAATTAAATCAATAGGGAAAATTAAATTGACGTATTTCAGAAGAGTATTAAAAGTTCTTAATGTACCAAATAGTGTAGAAATCTAACCAGGTAAAAAGGATTAGTCCTTTAAATATTTGCGAGGCACAAAGCCAGAAGCAGAGCTTCCATATTCGGAACCATTGTTCAAATGCCTGTAACATCTATGGCTGTTGCCATACTGTAGCTGGGAGATAGAAACTCAATCAAGTTGTCTCACATGTGTGGTTTTATCTGGTAACTCCTAGAGTGTGTATTAGCAGAAAACTCTAATCAGGATATAAGAGATGGGAGTTCGAACCAGTAGGCAAAATGCCTGCCCCAGATTAGTTTTTCAGGTAACACAAAGGCATTACAATTTTGAATTCTAGACACTACACAAATATGTCATGGAAATACTATAATAAAATCTGTGAAAGTGTTCACGTCCAGATTCATTGCACTGTTCACTCCTTGATGTTGTCTTTGAACGTTTGTTACTTCAAATTCAAATTGAGTACCTTAATATCAACTACTATTAAAATCTCATGGAACTACACAAGATAATGTAAACAAAATTCTTAGCACAGTGTATAGCATATCATATAAATAATCCAGAGTGACTATTATGACTGTCGTTTTAGTTTTGCTTGAAGGAAACTGAGCTAAACTGTATATGACCTCATCTTCTCTCTCCACATAAAGCCTTGTGTGAATCATGTGTAGCCTAATTTCTCAAGGAAAGACTTGAGACAAAAACTGAGCTGGGGAGAGATGGCATCAGATGGCATCCACAGCCCTGCTCCAACCTCTTACAAAGAGGAAAATGAAAGTCCTATCTGGCTGATTTCAAGGACAAGCCATAAGCTTCAGGACACATTCCAAAGGAGGCCTTCCTCTAGGAAACGTCTGTGAAAACCACCTGCAGAAACGTCCTCACAGAAGAGTTCCTACAATAAATCTTGCATCATTGGAAGGCTTGTTTAATTAACACTAACATCCAACCACATACCTGCATTCCATCTGTTTGACTGAGGTACAGCTGGATGTTGACATAGTCAGGTCTGTTCTCTTGCCAGAACTGGGAAGATATAAAAGTGAACAGACCTATTAAAATCACTGTGTACACTCAGACTTTCTTTTATTTTAATATGCCTGATAGAATTTAACATGTAGCTTTGCTTATCACAGTCAATCAGCACAAGCAAATGCAGTCTAATACTAATGAGCCGCTCTACTATTAAAAGTAATAATGATGGTGATGAGAGGGAATCATTCTCTCTTTTCCTTAAAGAAAAGGCATTTACCAATACGTTCAGAGCATACTACTGTACCAGTATTTCTCCATGTCCTTGCCAAATATTCCCTATTTTATATCCTAACAGGCTCGAATTTTTACTTAGGAGTTTACCTATCAAGGATACAATTTTTCTGAATAAAAAGAGAAAGTAAAGAGAATTGTGGGATAGAATAAGTATGCTAGGAAATAAAAAAGCAAGTAAAAATAATTTAATAGATACTTGTCATCAATCCTGACTTTTACTGGATCTTCTTGTATAAAAAATACATGAGGCAGAACATACATCTGTAAAACTCATCTAGAAACGATGTAACGACTACGGACCACACCCTTTTCAACCCCAAACTCTGGGATCGCCTTTTTATTTTATAGTTCTATGAATTAAACTACTCTATCTCTATCATATAGGCAGAATATTATATCCAGCTAATTTCACATACGATCTTCAAGGTTCTTCCACACTGTAGCATGTGTCAGAACTGACTTTTGTTTTATGCCTCAATAATATTCCGTCGTAGATATATGCCACGTTCTACCTACTTATTCATCGTTTATAGGCATTTGGGTTGTTTCCACCTTTTGGCTATTGTGAATAATGCTTCTAATGTTCAAATGTCCTTGCTTTTCTTGCTCTCAGTCATTCTGTGGCATATGTATCTAGAAATCATTTCTTTTTCTGCATAATGCCCAAAGTTTTCCATAATTCTACCTCTCCACGGAAAGCACATGCTGCCTAATTGCCACTGCTAACTTTTTTTTTTCCTGCTTACTCTGCTTTATCCACAAAATCTTTTGCAAGTTCTTTTAATATCCCAAGTGCACTACAGGTCCAGAGCCTTTATCTGTGAAGATCCTTGGTTTGCTTTCCACCTCCTAAGAGGTGTATTCTCTCAAGTCCCTGCTTCAAGCAGCAGTTAGTATGGCCTCTAGTGTTTGTAGTGATTGCCTTTAAAGCCACTTTCTCTTTTGTTTTAATTGGAATTTCATAAACAGACATAGTATGTATGCATTTACCGGTTTGCAGGCTCCCCCATTTAGAATATAAGTTACATGAAATCAGAAACTTGGTTTTATTTTGTTGTCTGATCTTTCTCCAGCCCTAGTCTGCTGAATATCCGAATGGTGGCTTATGAATGGACACATGTATAACGAAGCATATTTAATAAAACTCATTATAACACTTTTTGTAATAAAATACTAAATATCCAGTGACTGGTGTTGTGTGTAGCCACTCCAGCTCTCTGTTAAAAGCCTAGCAAAAGTAGGACCCGGCGTGGTGGCGCCAAGTGGTTAAGGTCCTCGCCTTGCACGCCCAGGATCCCATATGGGCGCAGGTTCTATCCCGGCAGCCCCGCTTCCCTTCCAGCTCCCTGCCTGTGGCCTGGGAAAGCAGTCGAGGACGGCCCAAAGCTTTGGGACCCTGCACCCGCATGGGAGACCCGGAAGAGGCTCCTGGCTTCGGATCGGCCCGTTGCGCTCACTTGGGGAGTGAGTCATCGGACGGAGGATCTTCCTCTCTGTCTCTCCACTCTGTATATCTACCTTTCCAATAAACAAAATAAGAAAGAAAAAAAGAAAGAAAGAAAGAAAGAAAGAAAGAAAGAAAGAAAGAAAGAAAGAAAGAAAGAAAGAAAGAAAGAAAAGAAAAGAAAAGAAAGAAAGAAAGAAAGAAACCTAAAAAAGCCTAGCAAAAGTAGCAGAACTTGGTTCAAGTGATTGATCACCTGTGACTCGTACAGGAGACCCAAATAAAGTTCCTGGCTCCTGGCTTCAGCATGACACATCCCTAGCCACTGCAGTCACATTGTTTTCTCTGTCTCTCCCTCCGCCTCTGTAACTCTTACTTTGAAGGACATAAAATTTATCTTTACAAAAACAAATCAGCTACTATATAGTATTTTAAATAGATACATCCACATAATAAATGCTGTATTGTATACCAACAATGAGATAGCTCTATGTGAACTAACACACCCAGACACACACAAATGGGACCTAGTAATACATTTACGGCATTAATTTACATATATGAGAGTAATTATAAGACACTCATGAGCTACCCCTAGTTACCTTGATAGGATGAGGAAACCAGGAAGATTTTAATTTATCTCAAAGTTTTGAGACATTTATAGCAATGATGCACAAATGCATTACTTTCATATTTGGAATAAATAAAGGTAGATGCATTACAGATAGATATCGAAGGGATAGTGTAGACTGCCTATTTTTAAGCCCTATTAGAAAAGTAAAAAAAGTTCGAATTTGGGATTTTTGAGCTTCTGCACTGTGTACCCAGAGGTCTGCCGACAGACTGTTGGGGATATCAAACATGGCCCTGAGAGCTAGGATACATTAGAGCAAAAATGACAGTGCTGGAGCAAGTATGTTCTGATGTTTCGGCCATTCTGAATTTACTCATCACCTCCTGCTGAATATATAAATTTCTATATTAAAAATCCTTTGTAAAAACACAAAAATAAAGAGCTCATTTTCTTAAAGTTTTATATATTTCTTTTAACTTTATTTAAGAAGGAGAAAGATAAATCTATCTTTCATCCAATGGTTGTTTCCCAAATGCCTGCAACAGGCAGGGCTGGATCAGTCTGAGGACAGGAGGGGAATCTCCCCTTGGCTCTCTTCCTGGCAGCAGGGACATAAGTACTTAAGCCATCACTTCCTCCCTCTCATATAGTGTGTGTAATCAGAAAACTGGATTGGAAGTAGAGTAGCTAGGATTTGAAGTACAAATTTTCATATGGGATGTGAATGTCCCAAGAGAAATGTTAATGCCACCTCCATGCCTGAAATGAAAGGTGCTGTATAAGAAGTGCCAAGATATATATGTATGTACGTAAACACACACACACACATACACATAATTACAAATATCCCTAGCTAAAAAGGTGTGGACCTAATTTTAGCAGTCATCTCTATTTTACCCCCCCAGCCCCCCGCAAAGGGACTTTAGTTTTTTATTGCTACTTAACTAGAATCCACTCATTAATTTGCAACTTAAAAAGCAAACATGTATTTTTAACTTAAAAATGTTGCAAACCTAAAAACAATCCTAATATTACCTTGTTATGTAACACACAAAGCAAATCTGCAAACCAACAGAAGGACTGGATGTCTCTGCAAACCCAAATAAAGTATAGTCTTCTAAGTTTGTATGGTTTCCAGTCATCCCTTTAAAATTAAAATAACATGGCAGTGATTAGGTGAGCAAACAATTAAAGATTCCTTATATGGTTGAAAATCTGCTTTTCATGGAAGCATCTGATATAGTATTCATCATAACTCTCAAATGAATTGCATATGCAATACAGTTCCTCCCACCCAAACGTAACACATTTGATGAATTTAAATGTTTACACCTGTGAATTTTATATGCAATTGTTCATTTCCATTTCCATTTGAAGGCCTAAACTGAACACCTAGATAAGAATAACATTGGCCTTTGCATCTCAGAAGAGCAAGTTCTCAATTTTCAGTGAATTCTATCTGAGCAGCACTCCAAACATCATTAGGTCTTTCTTTGGCTTCCTGACAAAATAACCCAAAACCATTCCAAAGGATTGGCTGTTTATTCCCTTCTCAGCAACCATCAAAGAGATTTTGCAACCACATGTTATGTAATCATTCCAACAATTTATAATTCCAAATCTGTAGTCCTATTGAAAATTAGGAAGTAGACTTGAGGTTAAGAAAATGTTTTTAACTTTTTTTTACAACAGTAGGTGTCCAAATAACTTGTAATGTATTGTCAGTAACAAATGATTTCAAGATTACAGCATAGTTAATTCTGTAAGAAACTTCAGAGAGTTTCAAATATATCTAGTTTAAAAAAATTGAAATAAAATGCCATTTAAACATCACTTCTGCTTATGTCTTTTTCAATACTCAATAAAACAGATTTGTAATGCAAATTCTATCTACCTGAAAAATGAAAAACACAGATTTTAGAGTTAACTCTTCTGTGATATTATTTGTGTTTTCATGACTATTATTTTTTGTTTGAGATTCTGGGGAAAAAACATGTTTAAAAGAATATTTCCTGATATGCAATCTCACCTTTAAAATTTCTTTCCTTCAGTGTGTTGTCAATATGCTAAGTAGTAAACCATGGGATGGCTTTTTCATTTGTCATATCATAAAAGTTTTTTCTGGCAATAATTCCACAACCCTTTATTTCTAAATCTTTTTAACCTATATTTTTCTTTTTATAGCTCTAATATCATTGGAATACTTCTTACTGCTTTTTCAATTTTCCCTTTTGAAAATAAGTATGTTCAGGGTAAGGATTTTATGCTCATTGTTCCACTGCCAGTATTTGAAAGATTTACTAAATACTCAAAATATTTCTTAATTGATGAACGAGTGCCATCACTTAAACTAATGATGCAGAAGAATGAAGGATTGTGCTGAGCAACATAACAGAGAAAAGGACACAGGAATACGTAACTGTTGGAGGATAATGTCTATAAGAGAGGAAGGAAGCTCATAGACAGAGACCAGATGCATATCATGAACACGAATAAATGAATTCTTTAAATAAATATTTCAGTATAAAAGAGATTCTAGAAATATTGACATAATGGATCACAATGACATACAGCAGGGTGTTAAGTATCGACGCAAAGGGAGTCACTCCAATGCCTCCGGCCACGCACAGGCTGACCTCATAGTTCAGGGACTCCTCAAATGGACTTCCAAATGGACCATCTATATACAGCCTGCAGAGGAGGAAGGAAAAGACACAACACATGAAAATATGCTCAGTTAATTCACTATAATATTTAACAAACATACTAGAAAGTATTGCTAGGCCTTATTTCACTTTTCTGATGGTGATAAGCACATAGGAAAAAATATTGGTAATGAATTGCTAATGTTAAGTCAAGTATATCTTTTAAAATATATTTATTTATTTCTGTGGAAAGATGGATTTACACAGAGAAGGAGAGACAGAGAGAAATATCTTCCATCTGCTGGTTCACTCCCCAAGTGGTCACAAAGGCCAGAGCTGAGCACACCCACAGCCAGGAGCTAGGAGTTTCTTCTGGGTCTGTTATTTGGGTGCAGGGTTCAAAGGATTTGGGCCATTCGCTACTGCTTTCTTAGGTGACAGAGAGCTGGATGGGAAGTGGAGCAGTCAAGGCATAAACCGGTATCCATATAGGATCCCAGAGGGTCTAGCCACTAGCTATTGCATAGAGCCCCAAGTCTAACTTTTCTAAACATGCCTTTTTGGAGGGATATATCAGTTCAAAATGTATAAAAATGCAAATAGAATCATACTTGCAGCTGAGGACAAGTTAAACTTTTCACCCTATATTATAGTATTAACTAATTTAAAATACCAACTGCTTTCCTGTATAAAAATTCTACAAATAACATTGACTTCATTGACAGTCAGGAGTAGAAATACTCGCCTAAAGATTTACTATATCAGTGGAAAACTAATAGAGGGAATTAAATAATCTGACATTATTCTTTCTTTTAGCTTAGTTTCTTACGCCCAAAGGCAACTGAACATTAATTAAAATAGAAGTCCTTTTTAAACGGCTTATTCATTTTAAAGTCAGAGCTACACAGAGAGGAAGAGCCGGAGAGAGAGAGCAAGTGAGTGAGAGATAGCTCATCTGCTGGTTAACTTTCCAAATGGCCATTACTGTGGGAGACTGCATCAGGATCTCTGCCTGCCTAGCCCGTGTGGGAGGTTACAGGCACACCATGTCCCTTGGGAACCCCTGACAGCAGCATTGGATGACCAGATCCCCACCTGGCCTGTTCACTCTGCATGCAGCAGAGTGGTGGGCTGCACTCCAGTCTCTCTTTTCTGCCTCTATAATGAACTGTGCTAAGAGTACCTTGATGAACAATTCTAGGAAGTCAAATGTTTCACCTGTTTTAAGGAGTCTGCCCTGAGACACAGTTTCCTGTATTTCCCGTGGTCCCTGACCTTTAACTTCATTGGCAGGTCCAGAGAGATAGACATACCTACTAACCAGTCAGCATGTCCTTGTCGGGTTGGAATACTGTTGGAACTGCTCTTCTTCCTGCTCCCTTTTCTACCCTGTATAAGCTTCTGACTTCTTTCAAATAAATGACATCCTTCACCAGCAGTTTGTCTCCAGTGTTTCTGCTGCCAAGGAGCACTGTATCACCTCGTCCCCCCTCTCTCTCCCCCCACCGGTGGTCTTGGGAACTGCTGGACAGAAAATCACTGAGACATTACAGCTGCGACAGGCCAGGCAGAAACCAGAAGTCCAGAGCTTCTCACAGGTCTTTCATAACAGTGCACAGGTCCAAGTACTAGGGCCATCTTCTGCTGCTTTCCCAAGCACATTAGCGAATAGCTGTATCAGAAGTGAGGTAGCCAGGACATGAACAGGTGGCCACATCCACTAAGCCACAACAGCAGCCCATAACAGAATTTCTACGTATGTTATGTTATACATGCTTATATATTCGAGTGGTGTGTGTGTGTGTGTGTGTGTGTTAGAGAGAGAGAGAGATGGACAGAGGGAGGGAGAGAGGGAGAAAGAGAGAGAGAGAGAGAACCTTTTTAACTGCAAGAGAAATTGCTAATTGTTCACTTTACTTTCCATCTTCCCATGCCTTCCTCTTACTGGAGCACAAATTTCATTCAGAGAAACAAAATGTCCAGCTAAAACACTATATTTATCAGATTCTACTGCATAACTTTAGTAGAGTGACTATATTCTGGTTAATGTGGCAAAAATAGGAGTACAACTGGAACAACTGGGGAGGCTTCTGGAAAAGTTCTCACTTCGAAGCTCCATCTCTTTATCTCACATCAGTCCTTCTTTCTTCCTGGTGTCTCAGTGATGTCTCTGTACCTAAATGGCTAACTTCGAAGTTTTTAGAATTATCATATATACATGAATAAAAATCTATATGTGAATGAAAAATCAGTATTTATAATTTTTATTCTAACAAAACAACTTACCTGAAAAACCATAATTTGCAAAGAAGTACATTTGTATAATAAGCCTTATGATGTACAAGACTTTCATGGTTAGGAGCCCTTGCAACAGTAGATGAGATATGATTATGCTTTTGTGGGTTTAATAGTTAAATTCTAGGTTAATATCTTTTAAACAAATTAATATCTAAGATATTTCATTGGACTTAGAAAACAATAATCATCTCTTCTGGAAAGAGATAGGGTAAAGTATTTCGTTCCTATGGGAACTAAAGCTTTGACTTGAACAAGAAGAAAAAGGCAGAATGAATCCCTGTATCATCACTTCAAGAAAGCAGTCCTGGGGAGTTGATTGATTCATAGAAGTCACTGCATGAGCACGTGCTTAGAAGTTCTGTTTTGAGCTATAGTTGTGGCTCTCTGTTGCCTCATTTTGAGGGATATTTTCAGGCCAATTAGTTAATGCTATAATATTAACATAGAAAATATATGACTTCATGCACTTAAGCCCTAAAGGGAAACAAGAGCATTACTTTTTATATATACATATACTTTTGAGATTAATCAGCTGAAAGGCAGAGTTAAAAGAGAGAGAATGCAATCGTCCATCTGTTGGTTCACTTCCAAAATGGCCTCAAGGGCCAGGGCTGGGGTTTAGCCATAAGGGCGTCATCTTCTGCTGCTTTCACAGGTGCATTACAAGTAGCTGGACAGCAAGTAGAACACCTCAGGACTGAGTTGGGGCTCATATGGGAATGTGGTTGTTACAGGCAGTGGTGTAACTATGCCACAATGCTGGTCTCAAAGAATACTACTTTTAAAATAAAATGACTTTATCTGGTAGAAAAGCTACTTCTTGCCCTTAAGGAATAATTACCTCAGATTATATGCTTAATACAATCTTTTAAACATTAGAAATAGATTTTAAAATCACTAATAGATACTTAATCACAGTACATAAAATTCTTACATCCACTTCGTGATTTATTCACTTAAAAACAAAGCATGTACTTTTTTCCACATATTGTGTTATGCTATTTTTGACTCAAAGATCAAAAAAACATTTCTATATCTAAAGAGATTTTTACATCTTCATACACAAATACAATAAATGGCTATAGGACAGTGCATTACAACAATAAATAATTTTTAAGTAGAAAGGGATCTTAAAAAAAGACAATGAAAAAATAGACATCCTATTTCAACAAAAAAGAGTAAAAGAAAGGGGCCATGAAAAAATGACTCTTTACCACTTATCTCCTTCCAATTCAGGCACACTCTCAACCCACTACATAGCTATTCTTTGATGTTTTGAAATGACTTTGGAGTGGACCATAACTCAGTAATGACAGGATCACAGAAGTATTTATCCTGCCAAACGCCTGGTAAATCAAGACCCATCCATCATCTATAAAAGATCAACAAGTTCTGATGACACAGAAAAGGCTGACAAAATCATAGATAACCACACACAAATGTCAGAAACATGGTCTGTTGCTTACGTACATGACTGTGGAGTGTTGGGCCACTGCAGACCTTAAGCATCAATACAAAAGACAGGCCAACTGTATGTGTGAGGGTTTTTTTTTTTTTTTAGAAGGTTCATAGAGAATCAGCTCATTTTAAAAGTTAGAAGTTTTTTTTTACTTACACTGAGAAAAAAGTTGCTGCTTTGAGGCATGTATAAAGAAAAACTACATATATATATATATACATATATACATATATACATATACATATATATACATACACATACATACATATACATGTATACATGTATACATACATATACATACATATACACATATACATATATACATATATATATATATTTTGAAAGGCAGGTTCAGAGACAAGGAGAGACAGAGAAGCCTTCTGTCCACTAGTTCACTGCCCAAAAGGATGCACTGGCCAGAGGTGATCTGATCTGAAGCTGGGCATCAAGATCTTCTTCCCAGCCCTAACCTGTGTATAGGTGCTCAAGGTTTTTGGTCATCCTCTGCTGCTTTCCCAGGCCATAAACAGAAAGATGGATCAAAGTAGAGCAGCCAGGACAGGAACTGGTGCCCATATCATATGGGATTCCAGCACTACAGGCTGGTAGAGAATTAGCATGCTGTGGATTTTTCAAGGAGTGACCAGTCGTTATGGGTGGTTGTTACGGTGCAGGAAGTCAAGGTAACACTAAGGATGCTAACATTCCCCGCCGACACACATACGCCGACACACATACACCGACCAGAGGTGCAGTTTTCTGTCCTGGTGAGGATCCCAGCTTCTCTACTTTCAACCCTGGTTCTTGTTAATGCACCTGTCAAACAACAGAAGATGGCTCCTGCTACTCAAATGGGAGACCCAAGTGTAGTTCCCAGTCCTGGTTTTGACCTGGCCCAGTCCTGGTTGTTATGACCACTTGGGCAGTGAACGAGCTGAAGGAAGCTCTCTTTCTCAATCTTTCTTTAACTCCACTGTCATCCTCTGCTCTTCTCCTTCTATGTTACTATGCTTTTCAAAAAAATCTATAAAACAAGAAAGATATATTACTACATGTGATAAGATTACAAACATTAAAAGTGTTTTAAAAACATGTAATAATATACTGGCGATGAGATCAATAAATAATGAAAAGATCCTTTATGAAGGATTGTGGATCTAGGAAAATTTTATGGAAAAGTTCCTCTTCCGGGGCCCCTTTAAAAGAATATCAACTTTTTTTTGAAATTTAAAAATTTTTCTCTTGAAAGTAGACTCTGTTAATTTGCTTTTAAAAAATGGCTTATTTGT